CTTGGATTGCCATTCCCCATTGGGAAGATCCACAGATGGGGTTTTCCTAGAAATATCCCAAAAACTTCTCCCAGGCTGGCTCAGGGAGAGGGAAGCTCTGGAAATTGGAGCAGCAGCTATGGGGAAGCACTGGGTGAGGGCACTGCCACAGGAGCTATTCCAGGGATTGGGATTTGGCACAGGGATTGCACCACACTTACCTCAAAGCTATACTCCCATTTCCCAAAATACTGAGGGGAAGGGAAGACAGAAGGAAAGCGGAGTCAGTGATCCAAGGAACATTTTTTGTGCAGCCCCTCAGCTCTCCCTGGATGGAAATTCCACAACTTTGCAGGGAGACATCACAACCGGGGACAAACAGCGGCAATTATCCAGGAAAAAAATCATGGAATTCTGAGCGGGGAGGGATCCACAGGGATCACTGATCCCAACCCTGGCCCTGCCAGGATACACCAACAATCCCATCCTGTCCCTCAGAGCGTTGTCCAAACATTCCTGGGGCTCTGGCAGCCTTGGAATAAACCCCGAGGGATCTCATCCCTCTCCACATCCAGAGGTTTCCCCAGATGTCACAACGGGAATCATCCCAAAATCCCTCCAAAATCCCTCCATGCAATGCCTGAACAAGCAAGGTAAGGAAAAAAATCAGTGTAATTCCACTGGAAAATCAAATTAATGAATACAAAGGATTCAGGAAATATCCTGCAATTGTTTCTCTTGGAAAAAAAAAAAAAAATTGGAATATCACAACTAGTTGTTTTCTTGGGGAAAAAAAAGTCCTGGATATTAGGAATGTTTGGAGGTTAATAATACAGGAACAAATATATAATAATGACAATAATGAAATGAAAGGGAAAATCGGCAGCTGAAATCTGAATATTCCAAGGAAAATTGGCAATAGAAAGCTTTGCCCAATAAATCCAGGGACAGGGAATGCAATGGGATGTTTTCCAGGAGAACAAGCAGCCAATCCTTGGAGATGCCATAAAAACACGGAGTATTCCTGTTTTAGGAGCTCCATCTCATGGCCGAGCTGGGTTTTACACCATTCCTGGGAAATTCTGCTCAATTTAAGGGAAAAACCAGCACATTCCCTGTATTTTATTGGAAGAATTCCAGCCTTCCAGGCAGGAAGGGTGGAGGTGCCCAAGGAATTCCTGAATGAAAAANCTATGCTTGGATTGCCCTTCCCCATTGGGAAGATCCACAGATGGGGTTTTCCTAGAAATATCCCCAAACTTCCACCTTGCTATTGAGAGCATGCCCACGATCCAGATTGTGGCTCCCAATCCCGTTCTCCCTATGCTTGGATTGCCATTCCCCATTGGGAAGATCCACAGATGGGGTTTTCCTAGAAATATCCCAAAAACTTCTACCTTGCTATTGAGAGCATTCCCATGATCCAGAGTGTGGCTCCCAGTCCTGTTCTTCCTACCCTTGGATTGCTATTCCCCATTAGGAAGATCCAGGCACAGATGGGGTTTTCCTAGAAATATCCCAAAACTTCCACCTTGCTCTTGAGAGCATTCTCATGATCCACATTTTGGCTCCCAATCCCGTTCTCCCTACGCTTGGATTGCCCTTCCCCATTGGGAAGATCCAGGCAGAGATGGGGTTTTCCTAGAAATATCCCAAAATTTCTGCCTTGCTCTTGAGAGCATTCCCATGATCCAGAGTGTGGCTCCCAATCCCGTTCTTCCTACTCTTGGATTGCTGCAATTCCCTGCTGGAAAGATCCACAGATCCACATATTTGGGATATTTCTATCCATCCTTCTGTTGGATAAAAATATCCCCAAACTTCCACCTTGCTATTGAGAGTGTTCCCATGATCCAGAGTGCGGCTCCAAATCCCGTTCTCCCTACCCGTGGATTGCCATTCCCCATTGGGAAGATCCACAGATGGGGTTTTCCTAGAAATATCCCAAAAACTTCTGCCTTGCTATTGAGAGCATTCCCATGGTCCAGAGTGTGGCTCCAAATCCTGTTCTCCCTACCTGTGGATTACTATTCCCCATTGGGAAGATCCACAGATGGGGTTTTCCTAGAAATATCCCAAAAAAACATCTACCTTGCTATTGAGAGCATTCCCATGATCCAGAGTGTGGCTCCCAATCCCGTTCTCCCTATGCTTGGATTGCCATTCCCCATTGGGAAGATCGAGGCAGAGATGGGGTTTTCCTAGAAATATCCCCAAAATTTCTGCCTTGCTCTTGAGAGCATTCCCATGATCCAGAGTGTGGCTCCAAACCCCGTTCTCCCTACCCTTGGATTGCTGCGATTCCCCATTGGGAAGATCCACAGATCCACATATTTGGGATATTTCTACCCATCCTTCTATTGGATAAAAATATCCCCAAACTTCCACCTTGCTCTTGAGAGCATTCTCGTGATCCACATTTTGGCTCCCAGTCCTGTTCTTCCTACCCTTGGATTGCCATTCCCCATTGGGAAGATCCACAGATGGGGTTTTCCTANCCCCGGCCCTGGGAGGGACCCCGGGCTGGGGAGATGGAGCCTTTCCTCAGAGAAACCCATGGGAATTCAGGGGAAGGGAAAGGTTCTCCCTTGGAGAAATCCATGGGAATTCAGGGGAAAAAAAAGGTTTTCCCATTCAGGAGAAGGGAAAGGTTTTCCACTGGAGAAATCCACGGGAATTCAGGGAAATGGAAAGGTTTTCCACTGGAGAAATCCATGGGAATTCAGGGAAGGTTTTCTCCTGGAGAAATCCACGGGAATTCAGGGGAAGGGAAAGGTTCTCTATTGGAGAAATCCATGGCAATTCAGGGGAAGGGAAAGGTTCTCCACTGGAGAAATCCATGGGAATTCAGCAAAGGGTTTTCCACTGGAGGAATCCATGGGAATTCAGGGGAAGGTTCTCCCTTGGGCAAATCCATGGGAATTCAGGGGAAAAAAAAAGGTTTTCCCATTCAGGAGAAGGGAAAGGTTTTCCACTGGAGAAATCTATGGGAATTCAGGGAAGGTTCTCCACTGGAGAAATCCATGGGAATTCAGGGGAAGGGAAAGGTTCTCCCTTGGAGAAATCCATGGGAATTCAGGGAAGGTTCTCCCTGGAGAAATCCATGNAGGGTGGGCACAGCTGGCACACCATGACCCTGGAATGCTTTTCCAGCCTCAGGGCTGCTGGGATTGTGCCAGAACCACCCCCCAGGCCCGGGGTACCTCAGCATCGTACTCCCAGAGCTGGTTGCCCCTCAGGTGGTGGCACTTGAGCATGAGGACAGGGCCGTTGAGCCGCGACACGTCCAGGCACAGGTCGTCCGTGCGGATCTCCTTGTCCGCCGTGTAGGAGAACACCTGGAACACAGAGGGGCTGGGAAAGGGCTGGGAAAGGGCTGGGAAA